GGCGATGGTGGTGCGCGTCCCCCTGGACCAGGCCGTGCCCCATTTGGGGGGCTCCTTCAACGTCATGGCGGTGCACGTCCACCACAGCTTGGCCAACCAAGACTGGGGCGTCACGAAGCTACATGAGTTCTACAACTGGTTCGTCGCCTACGTCAGGGAATGGGACGTGAAGGTCTGCATGGGGGACTTCAACATGTGCATGTTCCAGCTTGTGTCCTGGTGCCGCAATTGCGGCCTGACTGTGGACGTCGCCGCGTGGACCCCCTGGAAGACAGCAGGCGGCCAGCCCAGGGCAGACAGCATGCGATTTTGTTCATAAACTGTCCTGGGCAGTACAAGCTTCACCATGGCCTGAGTGTTCTGCACGACCGTGAGGGCGGATTCTTGACGACCCAGCATGATCCGTCTTTCCCTGTCTTCGACTTCACGAATGGCCCTGGGAAGATGCTTCAGACTTACGTGCCCAAGGCTGAGCCCGTTGAAAACAAGATGCGCGCCTTCCTGACGCCATCTGGCGAATCCTTGACCGCAAATGCGGAGTTCGAGCAAAGGATGGCGCGCAGGGAACGCGACGATTGGGTGCGCTATCCCTTCAGAGTGAAGCAGGGCAACCTCGACGACAAGATATGGCATGGCGCCTTCGGCAGGGCGAGGCACGGAGCGCACTTCCCTCTGGTGGCTTTCACGCACACTACGTGCCGCAGGTCACCTGAAAGACTCGCCGCGAGGTTGGAACGCAGGAAGGGCGGCAGGAAGGGCGGCAAGAAGGGCGGCAAGAAGGGCAGCTACGCGGACACCGCAGTTGCGGGGAAGGGCGTCCGACCCAGATGGGAACCGCAGTTGCGGGGAGAGACGCTGGGGCTGAGCGAGCTGGGAACACGCCACCGCCGCAAGCTGCCAACGGCGACGATGCGACCCCTTCTTGTGCCGCAGTGGCGGCTGGGTCCTGGGACGCCAGCGGCAGCGGCGCATGGGAGGCGCGCAGTCCTGCCACGAGATGGCAGGGCTGGTCCTGGTGGGACTGGAGCTCGAGCGAATGGGGCGCTGATGGCGCGCAGTGGTGGCCCTCTGATCATGCCGCAGTTGCGGACAATGCCCCTGAGGGCTCGCCTCCTCAGCGTGTAGTCGAGTGGGGCTCGAGCGGGCGACCTGCCGAGCGCCCTCCGTGGAGCTTCGAGGCGCAGCGTTGGTGATGGCCGCAGTTGCGGGCAAGTGGAGCATGATGTTGATTGCCGCAGTTGCGGACAGTGTACGCTGGAAAAATCATCATCATCATCAATCATATCATACGTTCAAAGCAGTGCCGGGGCACTGCTTTGAACGCGTTCAAAGCAGTGCCGGGGCACTGCTTTCGATCGTCGCCTCGTCGCCGTTATAAGGGCTATTGGATTACCCTTCCTGCCCTGCTGCCGCCCTTCGTGGCCCCTTTCCTGCCCTTCGTGGCCCCGCTGTCGCTCTCGCCTTCGCTCTCGCTCTTGCTTTCCCTTGTCGTCGTCGTCGCCGTTGTCGCCGTCGTCGTCGTCGTCGTCGTTGTCGTCGTCGTCGTCGTCGTCGTCGTGGTCGGTCCACTGTCCGTCCCTCTTGGGGTCGGGTTGCCGATGATCAGCGCTGCCGCTGGCCAGGCCGACGGTCCGCGGCCGCCCCGCCGCTTGCCGGGGCCCGGCCTGCAGGGAAACCAGATATACCCCCCCAAAGGGGTACGATCGAAGACGAAGAGGGTGGGTATCGAGGGTTTGGGAAAGACTCGTTGAATGACACTCGAGCATTTAAGAGCTGTGACTAGTGTTGCTGTTGCTGTTGTTGTTGTTGTTGAACACTATTAATTCTAAAGAATAATTATTGTTGGGCCCCCTGGTGCACGCCCCCCCCGCCGCGCCTAGGCCGCAGCCACGTTTTCATCATTTTCGTGGGAGTCCAGTCCAAACGATGTCATCAGATTCCGGTGTTTGTTGGACGACCCTTTCCTTGCAAAAAACACTAAAATAAAAAATATATATATAATAAAATAAAAAAATAATATTATTAAATATATAAATAATAGAATAATAAAATAAAAAATATTAATAAAATTGAATATAAAAATAAGATAAACAATTATAAAATGAATTCTGGTTTCTAACATATCCAAACTTCATGAATCCCTTGCAACAAATAAGGTAACGTGGACATTCGCGCGCGCAGGACGAAATCCTTCCAAAACCTTAGTTTTCGTAGCGATTTTAACATAAAAACATAAAAAACAATGGTTTTTCAAAAAAAAATGTCAAAATTTCATCCCGCGCGCTCTTGCGGATTCGTAGGAAACCCAACACTTTTTAAACATTTCTGTCAAACGGGCTTTTGCGAGCAACTTTTTCGAACTTCTGCAAAAACGGTTGCGCACCTGCCAGGGCCATCATCCCTGTCAAATAATACCATGCGGGACACATTCGTTTTTTCTTCGCGCGCGCACGCCGTCGTCGTCGGCCGCGGGGCCCTGAATAGTAGCCACGGTCGTCGCATGCCACGAAGTGAAGTGTCCGAACGTCATAGGGCGGGAAGCTGGGTGTGGGTGGTGGCGAAGAGTCGTTTGGAAATTTGGTAGAGCTTGAACCGGCCCCCCCACAAAGTGGGGGTATTGCCCGCCTCCTATGAAAACCCTGGCACTGGTGAGAACGGAGTGTCCCCACGTGCTAGTAAGTGTTGTTGTTGAACATTATTAATTCTAAAGAATAATTATTGTTGGGGCCCCTGGTGCACGGCCCCCCTGCGCCGCCTAGGCCGCAGCTACATTTTCATCATTTTCGTGAGGAAGCCTCAGGTAATTCGATGTGATCAAGATCCGGTTGTTTTGTTCCCCCCCGCTTTCCCTTGCAAAAAATACTATAAAATGACATTTCTTGTTCTAATATAATCAAATTTCAAGAATCCCTTGCAAAAAATAAGGTAAAGTGGACATTCGCGCGCGCAAGACGAAATCCTTCCAAAAGCTTAGTGTTCGGAACGATTTTAACATAAAAACATCAAAAAATCAATGGTTTTTTGACAAAAAAATGTCAAAATCTCATCCCGCGCGCTCTTGCGGATTCGTAGGAAACCCAACACTTTTTAAACATTTCTGTCAAACGGGCTTTTGCGAGCAACTTTTTCGAACTTCTGCGACAACGGTTGCGCACCTGCCAGGGCCATCATCCATGTCAAATAATACCATGCGGGACACATTCGTTTTTTTTTCGCGCGCGCACGCCGAAATCTCCAAAAACCATTGGGTTTTTAAGAATTTTAGCACCGCGCATCATAAAATCACACGAATCGCACCGTAGGTCCTCAAAAAACACCTGCACGACTTTTCAAAAATTCTACCCGCGCGCGCTGTCCGAATCCTAAAAAAAACAATGGTTTTCCAACATTTATGTTACATGAGCTCGCGCGAGCTACTTTCGCACGCTCTTGCATGTGGGTTAACAAGGCTTAACAACTTCTGTGGGTGTACGAACGTAGGCTTAACAACTTCTGTGGGTGTGTACTCCACGCCAGTGTAGTAGCCACGGTCGTCCGCAGGCCACGAAGTGAAGTGTCCGAACGTCATAGGGCGGGAAGCTGGGTGTGGGTGGTGGCGAAGAGTCGTGTGGATATTTGGTAGAGCTTGCACTGCCCCCCCACAAAGTGGGTGTATTGGCTGGCGTCGCATGAAAACCCAGGCACTGGTGAGAACACTGAGCGTTCGGGTAAAGTGATTGTTGTGGTTGTGTTGTTGTGGTTGTTGTTGTAATTTGTTGTCGTTTGTGTTAATGTTGTTAGTTTGGGCGTAGTGGTAGTATAGTAGATAGTAGTAGTGTAGTAGTAGTAGTAGTAGTTTAGCGTAGTAGTTAGTAGTAGTAGTAGTAGTAGTAGTCGTAGTAGAGTAAGAGTAGTAGTAGTAGTAGTAGTAGCAGTAGCAGTAGTAGTAGTAGTAGTAGTGTAGTAGTAGTAGTAGTAGTGTTAGTAGTAGTAGTCGTAGACAAGTAGTTCATAGTAGTAGTAGTAGTAGGTAGTAGTTCGTAGTCGTAGTAGGAGTAGTCGTGGAGTAGTAGTAGTAGCAGTAGTAGTAGAGGAGCAGTAGTAGTAGTAGTAGTAGTAGTAGTTAGTAGTAGTAGTAGTAGTAGTAGAGTAGTAGTAGTAAGGAGTCGTAGTAGTCGTAGTAGTAGCAGCAGCTGTAGCAGCAGCAGCAGCAGTGGACGTGGTAGTAGTAGCAGGAGTAGTAGTAGTAGTAGTAGTAGTAGTAGTAGTAGTAGTAGTAGTAGTAGTAGTAGTAGTAGTAGTAGTAGTTGTAGTACCAGTACTAGTAGTAGTAGTAGTAGTAGTAGTAATAGTAGTAGTAGTAGTAGTAGTAGTAGGAGTAGGAGTAGGAGTAGGAGTAGTAGTAGGAGTAGTAGTAGGAGTAGTAGTAGTAGTAGACGTTGCTGCTGAATTCTCATTGGTCCCCCTTCGTGGTAACCAGCATGTTTTTCAATTAAAGTGCTTCTCCTGGCGCTCGCACTTCATTCTCAAATAAACATGAGACAAGGGGAACTAAGATGCCACCAAACTGGGGCCGTGCCCCTTGGTTTACAACAACAGCCATTTATCCCAAAGCGTGGTGCGATCGAAGACGAAGAGGGCGGGTATAGAGGGCTTGGGATAAATGGCACGCGAGCGGATAAGATCGATCAGTACTAAAAACGTGTATTGTTGTTGTTGGTGTTGTTGTGAGCCATCATATAATTATTTGTGTATATTGTTTTCCCCTTCGTTCAATTTCCTCGTCCTTTTTCATTTCTCTGTAACGCCCCGCCTGTCCTTTCCTCCTTCGTTCCTCACCTCTCCTCTCTCTCGCTTTTTCACTCTCGCTCTCTCCCTCTATCTTTCTCCCCCTGTCTGTTCCTCGGTGGACCGCGCTTCTGCGCGCGTATGTGAGCGTCCGTCCGTCCCTTTCGTCCTCCTTCCCTCCCTCTCTCCCTCCCTCCCTCTCTCTCCCTCTCCTTTCCTTCCCTCGTCGCGAGGACCGTGGCCGAGAAGGACAAGGACCTGGCGGCCAAGGACAAGGACCTGCAGGCCCTGAGGTTGGACCTCAGCGATTGCCGCGAGAGCAGCGAGGCCAAGCTCCGGAAGCTGTCCGTCGCGGTCGCGGCGGCAGAGGATAGCCGCAACAGTGCACCTGTTCAGTCGGGCCGCTGACAGGGGAACCCTCGCTGGGGAGGGGCTCAGTGTTCTTCAATTGTTGTACAACATGGCTTAGTTTGTCCTTCGGTTATCTGTGCGGAATTGAAGTGCAACTCACTAAGAAGGAACTGATTGAAGCGACGCCTCGAACAATCATACCTATACGACCAACCTTCGGGTGATGAGGAAGTTCGGGGGGGGGGGGAGGAACCAACGTCTCACTCGATCGGTCTCACTATCGATCTCACTATCGATCTCACTATCGGTCTCGCTCGATCGATCTCACTCGATCGATCTCACTCGATTTATTTCATTCGATCGATCTCACAATCGATCTGACTATCGGTCTCACAATCGATCTCACCATCGATCTCACAATCGATCTCACATTGGTCTCACTATCGATCACATTTTCGATATCACACGATCTCACAATCAACGTCATCATCATCATCATCATCAACAAAATCATCGTCATCAACGTCATCATCAACATCATCATCATCATCATCATCATCATCATCATCATCGGGACACCATCGTCATCATCACCTCATCACCATCTTCATCATCATCATCAACATCATCATCATCACCATCATCATCATGATCATCGGGACACTATTATCGTCACCATCATCATCAACATCATCATCATCATCATCATCATGATCGGGACACCATCATCATCACCACTGGAACACCACCATCCTCATCTTGATTTCATCATCATCATCATCATGAACAACATCATCAACATCACCATCATCGGGACACCATCATCATCAGCAACATCATTATCATCATCAACATCATCATCATCATCGGGACACCATCATCATCGTCAGCAACATCATCATCCTCACCATCATCATCCTCATCGGGATACCATCATCTTCATCAACATCAGGATTATCATCATCACCACCATCGGGCCACCATCATCAAAATCGTCATCATCACCTCATCATCATCCTCATCATCATCATCCTCATCGGGACAACATCATCTCCATCACCATCATCATCATCAACATCACCATCACCATCGGGACACCATCATCATCACCATCACCATCAACAGCATCATCATCAACCTCATCATCATCATCATCATCATCGGGAGACCAGCATCATCATCTTCATCATCATCATAATCTCATCATCATCCCATCATCAACATCATCAAGATCAGCAGCAGCATCTTCATCATCATCGGGGCACGATCATCATCATCAGCAACATCATCATCATCAATTTCATCATCGGGGCACCATCATCATTACCACGATCACCATCATCATCATCATCATCATCATCAACATCGTCAACCTCATCATCATCATCATCATCACCGTCATCGGGACACCATCATCATCACCACCATCACCCTCATCATCATCATCATCCTCATCATCATCATCATCACCATCGTCAGCATCATCAGCAGCAGCATCATCATCATCACCATCATCATCATCATCATCATCATCATCGGGACACCGACGGGACACCAGCGGGACACCGGCGGGACACCGCGGGCCCCCGGCCCCCGGAAAGGAATTTTGGTCCGGCCGCGCCTCAGTTGGAGGCGGGACACCGGCGGGACACCGCGGGCCACCGGCCCCCGGAAAGGAATCATTTGGTCCGGCCGCGCCTCAGCCGGAGGAGACTTTCTTTTCGCCCGCCCACGCAGCTTCGCCTCACCCGCACGCACGGCTCGCACGAACACGAAACCGAAACCGATTTCCCGGCAGGGGGGCTCTCCGTTCCACTTCGATCTCACCCCCTCACCTCCGACATACTGCTTCTGGACTGAAAAGTGATGGAATATTCACAGTGTCGTGTATAGCGAATTCGCCAGACTTCCATCGGCACGATCCACTATGAATTCATTCTCCGGATTTTCCAACACTTGCTACAAGCCTGTGCATCAACACTACTGTTGATATCACTACCGCCCCCGCTTTCGCAACTCCCACTGTCGTTTTCATTAGACAGGCCCAGGGTTCCGGAGGAGGCCATGACGACACGACGCCACGAAGACGACGACGAGCATAAAGCAATCCGACGGCCTTTGGGGGAGGGTGGGCGGGGGGGGGGGCAGGGAGGTCAGGGTCCGGCCTCCCGGGCCTCGATCCTTTTTTCCAGGTTTCTTATGACAGCGTTTCGACTGTACACCACTGGCCGCCACTGGCTGCGGCGGCCCTGTGCCTCCCCGGCCCATCGGCCCCGGGCCTCCCTGGTCAAGCCATGGAGGGAGGAGGGGGAGGAGGAGGAGGAGGAGGAGGAGGAGGAGGAGGAGGAGGAGAAAGAGGAGAAAGAGGAGGAGGAGGAGGACGAGGAGGAAGAGGAGGAGGAGGAAGGGGGAGGAGGAGGAAGTGATCGTACACAGGGGTGCGCGTGTCACTTCGGGGCTCTAGCATGGGCAGCTCCAGCTGGCGCCAAGGCATGAGGTCGTAGACCTACCTTGAGGGGGGGATGGGCTTAGAGGGACAAAGTTTCGCGGTTCGAGTTTCGAGGTTTTCGGGTGTGTTCGGTGGTTCTCGGCGGTCTTCCAGCCTGAGGACGAAGTTTCGAGGTTTGAGGTTCGAGGCCTTCGGGCGTCTTCGGTGGTTCTCGGCGGTCTTCCAGCCTCGGGGTGCTCTCCAGCGACTGCCTCTCGCCGAGAGTGGGGCCGCTGGAGAGACGAGCTATGACTTGAAAATCAGGGGGGAGGGTCAGGGGGTGGGACGCCTGGACCGGACCCCCAATCGTCTGTTCGTTGCCGATGGATGAGCCCGATAGCCCATCCCGCCCAGGAACGTGCGGATTCGCTACGGGGGGCCTGTCGCCGATCTATCGACGCTTATATCTTCCTTTTCGAATATTCTTATAAGGACCCTCCCCCGTACGTGAATTCGGCCCTGGGGGCTCCCACAGACGTGGCATGAGAATTTCTGGTTTGGGGAGCCCCTCGTGGCCACCCTACGCCGTTCGGGCGGGCCCACGATCGCTTCCCGAACGGTCCCGCGGAGGCCCGAGACGGCCCAAGACCGTTCCAGAGCAGCCCATGGGCGCTCAAAGAGGGCCCAAAGTGACTTCAAGTCGGATCAAGAAGCCACCAAGACGCCGCAAGAGGCCCCCCAGGGGGATCCCCAAGAGGCACAAATCGCTGATCCCACTCCGAAGGACAAATATACATTCTCTGCATATTCCCTTCTGTGGTTTTCAAAGCGTCCAAGACGGCCTAGCCGGGTCCCAAGATCGCCCCAATGCGGCACAAGAAGTCCCGAAGAAGGCCCCAAAACAAGCCTAAAGAGCCCCAACACGGCCCAAGACAGCCCCAAGACGGCCCACATGGAGCCCCAGAGAACCCCCCAAAGCTCCCAAGACAGCCCCAAGACGGCCACAAGAGGCTCCCGAAAGGGCCCAAGAAGGCCCCAGGACGGCCCACGCCCCCCAGGACGGCCCAAAAAGGTCCCGCAGCGGGCCACGAGGGCCGCCAGACGGCCCAAAAGAGCTCCAAACAAAGCCTCGCCAAGGCCCCGAGAGGCCACACTCTTTGATCTCCGCAAGTTTGTATCTTAGATGCCTTGGTTATTCCTCTAACGCCACGTTCATACCTTCGGCCCTGGGACCCCTTATGAGCCTTATGAGCCCAATGAGCGCAACGGGCCCTATGAACCCTCCGAGCACGAAGCGCCCTTTGATCCCTACAATCCCTATGACCCCTCTGAGCCCTACGATGCATAGGGACCCTATGAGCCCCCATGAGCAATCTGAGCCCTATGACCCCCATGAAGCCCATGAGGCCTACGAGCCCTATGCGCCCTTTGCGCCCTAGAGCCCTCGGCACCCGATGACCCCCATGAGCCCTATGAGCCCCTATGAGCCCTACGAGCCATATGGAACCTATGAGCCCTGTGAGCCCAATGAGCGCTAGGAGCCCAATAGGCCACGTGAGCGCCGTGAGCCCAACAAGCCTTGTGAGTCCTATGACCCACATGATCCCTATGAGCTCGATGGGCCCCATGAGTTCTCTGAGTCCGATGGCTTTGATGAGCCCTATGCACCCTATGCGCGCCACGAGCCCTATGAGCCCCTCTGAGCCCTATGGGCCCTATGGACCCTATGATCCATACGAACTCTACGACCACTATGAGACCTAAGAGCCCTATCAGCCTCCTGGGCCCTATGAGACCTATGAGCCCCTCTGAGCCCCCATGAGACCTGTGAAATAAATCGTGTCAGTGCTGATATGTAAGCAGTGTAACATAGCATGCCAGCAAGCATATGCTTTTTCGTAACTATTTGGGCTCAATCCTTTAAGGGCCCTTGAGCTTGGGCGTATCGGTAGACACCTCGCAGGTGCCGCTAAGCAACACCAATCGCCTATCATTGCTGATATCTTCGCAGATACTTTTACGTCGTTGCTGACAATAACAACCTCGCGGTTATCATCGCATTCAGACCCCTCACGCAGTATTGGGTCTGCATTGGTAGTAGGAGCTAACTCGACCACGGCAGCTACGTGCGCGACTTTGCAGAGTCATTTAGCAAGCACTACAGGCTCGTGTCATTGCGACTGTACCTCTCATTCGGGGTCGCCATCATGGCGACAGGAGGAGCCGCTGCAGCCAGCGGCGAGGACAAGAGCAACGGGGGCAAGATCCCCGTACCCGTCTTCGATGGCACGAGCAAGACCATGAAGAAGCACCGCCGAGAGGTCGCCACCTGGCAGATCGGCACCGAGGTCAAGCCGCCCAAGCAGGGAGCGACCTTGCTGGCCAGCCTCAAGGGCAAGGCCGAGGAGGCGTGCGAGGAGCTCGACCTGGACGCCATCAAGTGTGACGACTCGGTGGAGGTGTTCCTGAAGTACCTCGGGAAGCGCTTTCCCGAGATCAAAGTGCTGGAGACCCCAGCGCTGCTGGAGACCTTCGTGCGCCCGGCCTGCGTCCGGCACAAGTACAAGGAGATCCGCGACTACAATAACCG